AAAATGCATGCGCACAAGGTCTAGAAGGAATTGAGGCAGTCTGTAAATCAGCACATTGATCCGGTGTGCCAGATGTTAAGGCACCATTAGGAACTCATTTTACCGGAATTTTGAATCGGATTGCTTTAGTATATCCGGATTGAAGGGCCATGCATACATTGGTTGCATTTCATAAATGGCTTATGCTATCCACTTGTAATTTTCTATACCCAAGGTGCTACGCAATTTATTTGTCAACATTCATCGGACATTTTACAAAAACGTCATCCTTTGGGAACAGCAGTTTGACCGAAGGCGCAGACCTGGACACCCAACAGGTCGGCATGACAACACAAAGTGTCTTGCCTGTCTCAATGGGATGTGTGTGAATGCCATTGGTCAATCAGCAAACCAATCACAGGCTGGGAGCAGTGAATCAGCTGATCACGGGAGCCAATCGGAACGCTCACCAGCGTGCAAGCGCCGACTGGTACCAACTCCGAACGTCACTCCCAATTGAGCCCGTCGTGTTAACACTTTCATCACGTGACATTCACCGCTGCCTTAACCTCCGTGCTTCAGCTGACTTCTCAAGCACTTATGACTTTTGATTACATTTTTTTCACAAAACCTTTTTTAAGACCATTGGGTGAGAGAAGAAATTTAATTGAAATCAAACCAGCAACGGCAAGCCACCAAATCTACGGGGATTAATTGGAAAACTCAAACCGAATAATAAGTGAGATTCAGATCGTGAGATATTCAAAGTCCACTTTACAACCACCAGTTAAATGTAGCATTAAACCCGACTACAAAAAATGAACAGTTGTGCTTCCCCTAGGCAATTCTCTCTAAAAGGGTAATGCAAAGTGCTAAACGCGTGGATCAGTAAGAGTAGCATAACTAGTCGACTAGTGACGATCGACTCTTCGGAAATTAAGTTCATTACTTTTTTACCCAAAGCACGATCCCATAGCGTAAAAAAGTCAATTCAAATCTGATCAAATTGAGTGAGTTTAAAGACGTGCAAAGGAACAATTGTCACGCCGGAGAAAGATTGTTCTCGCAGCTGCTTCTCGCTAGTTGAAAGTAAACGGTAGAAGACAGGGCGGAGGAGTCAAAATTGCACTAGACTGGTAGACGTCGTCTTTCCGATTCCTTTCAAAAAGTAAAATCAAGCCACATGATCTCAACGAGTTGGCGACAGGGAGGAAAGAGTAGGCGCGGAGGAAAATTTGAGGCATTTATATACAGTCTATATACACCAAGAGATAAAAAACCGGGATGCTTAGACGGCTCCAGCGCTCATACACGAATCGTCTGCTGCCTCGGGTACAGCCGACGCTGACGGCGGCAGCCGCAACAGGGTCTGGTGAATCGCTTCAACCGTATTGCAGGCTGCTTGAAAGGTCTTTCGACGACCACCGCAATCAGAGCTCGACGATGGCTTGCCTCCGACACTGCACACCGCCCTCAGAGCGTCTGCAGCCGTTTGGAGGCGTGCGCATTCATCACGAAAGCGGAATTTGGAGTGGGCGGAACAATCCGCCTCATCGACATAACTCAGGCACGCGTGTTTCAGCCCCTCAATGCGGTCGACCAGCGCGCTGTTGTGTTCATTCGGGAGATTCACTTTCGCCAGATTGAGATCGGCGCACAGACTTGTGACCTGTTTCAGGAGGTTTTCGTAGGAAAGAGGTCCAGTTGTGGGTGCGCCTTCGTTCCCGTTTCCATACGTCACCGACTGAGACATGATTGGAGGAAGGTCTTCGTCTTCTTCCTCCGGGAAGGACTCAACGCTTGGTGGTTGTTGCGCCTTGAAGGAACCCGCCGAGGTGTTGGAGGTTGGTGTCCAGCTCATTCGCTTCCCGACAGGAGCTTCAGCATTTTTGAGCCTCCTTTGGACGACCAGCTCCTTCCACGCAGGCACTGACGGTGCTAGAGGTGGACTTTGTGGCTCCGACACAACCGGAGTGGAGGTCGTTTTTAGTTTCGACTTGGAGGCTTGAATCATCTCCGCGGTGAGGGCACCATCTGCCGGCTGTTTAAGCTTGGGAAGCGTGCTGACACCCGGTGAACGGTTAGAGGCAACCGCAGACTTGGAGCCCTCCAACTGGCGCTTGAGGCGAGAGGAGAGTTCATTCTGGAAATCAGGGTTGGTAGCCAAGCCATTGGGAGGCGAGTGCGTAAGATGTGTCTTCAGGGGACTTGCCTTTGATGGCTGATGGGAGGAGACTTGCGAGGCAAAGTCGTTCACCGACTTCTGACTGCGTGTCGATTCAGAGCGTTGAGGCGGCACTGGAAGGACTGCGCGACGAATTGCTCCGGTTAATGGCGAGGTCGTGAAAGTAGCTACAAAAACATCGAATCTAATAAAGGACGTGAAATCGCAATAAACGACGAGCAGATATTGACTCGAAAAAGCAATTTAAACCCAATACGGCGTCGTATTCAAAGCAGAACACAAAACGCCCATATATTTTATGAGTGACACGCTAGACACTTAGAGATCTTTGAGCCGACAGAATGGGTCGATTTTGACATTTAGAGAAATAGGGTGTTGGCTGTAATCACGACTAAGTAATTCAGACATGAGGATGGTACCTTCGGCGTCAAATACAACTTAAGACGCCTTGAATAGCAGCCTGGTTTGGTTAGCCAATCAGAAGTGAGACGCTATACCAAGTGCCTTGCCTGTCTCAATGGATGTGTGTGAGTGCCATTAGTCAAGCAGGAAACCAATCAGGCTAGCAGTAGTAAATCAGCTAGTCACAGGAACCAATCGGAACGCTCACCAACATGGGGAGCGCCGATTGGTCCAAACTCCGAACGCCAATCAGAAGTGAGACGCCATACAAGTGCTAACAGACCAACCTGATGAAGTCATCAACGAATGGCCCTCAGGGACGCAGGGTGGGCTGCTTTGAGGAAGCTGGTGCACTCCTGGGTGAGGATGCAGGTTGCCGCAAACCACATCAGGTGGGGATGGTAGGTGATCGTCAACAACCCTCGAACAGCCATGGAGGTCTCCAGTAAAAACCTGCGAAAATTTGATGATGATGCCGATGATTAGAAAATGGGCAATAAGTTGAGCCTACTCAATGTTTGTTTGAGTGAAGACCAAACAAGTAATCTGGCTAACCCAGTTGGCGAGCTGGAATGTCGATTTTCATAACTTGGCTTTAATTCAACAACCGAAATATCACAAGCCCATTTAGGCATACAAGGAAGCATGAAGCTTCAAAACACCTTCATAGACTGTAAAACGAAGTTTAATGTCGATCCCACAACCACAACGCCCTGGGTACGCTTGTTCCTCGCAGAAGTGTGAGAAACGAATCCCCATTCGCACACAAGTACAGCACACAGGGCACGTCTCTGAGGTCGTAAATTACCTGAAGTCCAGTCGGGAGCATTTCGGATTGTTCCTCGGGCCGCAACGTCGTCGTTCGCATGGGCGGCGCAGGAGCGGCCTTTTTGCGACCCAGGGAACCCGCGGTGTGCACATCCTGGGGCTCCCCCGCAGACCCAACTTCTTGGTGCGGAGGCATGCAGGAGGCGGGAAAGACCTCCGAAAATCGGTTTCCAGGCACCATGCGACCTCGACTCGGGGAAGCGAAGCCCTGTTGAAGATGATGCTGTTGGTGGTAGTTATAAGGAGGGCAATGGCTGCCAACAGAGGCGTCGCGGGAAGTGAACGACTCGGCGTGACCACGTCGGAAAACCTCGGCGGAGGCGACAACTGCAAAAGGCGTGGTTTAAGTTGAACAACACGTACAAGATTCACAACACCACCACGAAACACTCACGGCTATTGTCGTCCACGCGTTCACAACTGCTGCTGCGTTGATGCGCGAAAAACGGTGGAGGAGGAGGTGGAGGCGGCATACGGATTCGATCGCGTTGGAGCTCGTGTTCGACGGCCGCATTGATGTCGAAGGAGTTGTGCATGGCCTCCAGACGCGTGCAGACTTCTCGGAAGGTCGGCCGATCTTCCGAGTCCCAACTCCAGCCTAGTTGAAATGCAAAAAAACACGCGCTTATTCACATCCCTTAATCCGGTCTCTCCACCTCAGACACAGGGTCCCCTTTTTGCAGTATGTAGCCAGCCCCACGGATCCTCAATTCCCTCCGCATTCACACTGATATTTATCTTGGATTAACCTCACACCTAGGTCCCGATGACTCACACATCCTATCTATAAATACACACGCGCAAACGCCACACACAACACAAAGACACCAACGTGGTTGAGCTCTGAATTAAACGGTTGTGTCCACGTCCTCTCAGATCTTTTTCTTCATCGCGGGTATCAGGGAGGCGTAATCGGGCCGGAGTTAGTTCAGTGGCCCCGGCGTGGTTCAAGACCACATGCTGGAGCCTGCAACAAAGGCACAGTCGATTCAGACTTGACAGACGGCAACAGTGGTTTAAATAAACGAAACCCTTCACTTGGAAAACCGTCCAGAGGCACCGAGAACGTCTGTACAAAGATTCGCTAGTAATCCAATAAAGAAGACTCCTAATTAGCCTAGGCACACGTATTTGCCCAATAAATTCTGAAAATTTGCTGGCACACGCGGACACGCTTTAGTGAACTCGACAGCTGCTTCTGAGGTGGCATTTTGAGACTGGAATTTGCAATACCTACAAGAACTGTCACAACGTCATTTCACATTAAAACACGCCTATTAAAACCATGGCTACTATTCAAGGAGGGAATGACTCAAATTCCCTGAACCTTTCGATAATCTGGAGACACGGCTTGACTGAAAGAAGTTTCGAATCATGCCCTTTTAGGTTGCCTAATGCTACACATCGAGTGTGTTTCTACAGACGGAACTCACAATCAAGCATGAGTTGGTAGACAGGGTCTGGGCAGCCTTGAGGCGCCTCCATTCGAGTTCCCTTTTCGAGGAGCACATAGACGTCTTGGAGTTCGACACCGGGGTACGGCGTCGCCCCGTAGGTGGCGATTTCCCATAACAGTACGCCGAACGCCCAGACATCGGACTTGATGGAGAAGCAGTTGTAGACCAGGCCTTCGGGTGCGGTCCATTTGATGGGAAATTTGGCGCCCTCACGAGCCCGATACGTCACATCGCACTCCATGTAACGCGCGAGGCCGAAGTCGGCGACCTTCACTGTCATGGCTTCACCGACGAGGCAGTTTCTCGCGGCAAGATCTCTGAAGGCGACGAGAGAGGTTAGAAGGCAGACTGTCACACCACAAACAAAACAATTATCGTGTTTTTTTCACAAGACTGTTTAGCAAAAAGGCGAGCCAATACTCGTTATGGGAAACAGCCACAAAAGTCGGGTAGCCTTGGTAACGAGAAAACAGGATTGCCGGGGCAATGCTAATGGCTCAAACAAGCATTCGCGGTCACAGGTTTGCACATGGAACTGTCTGGTAAGGAGGCTGTGCTCCCGCCAATCACAGGGTGTCCTTGACACGCTAGAAGATGAGAAGTGCACTATCAGTGAGATTTCTTTGACTCAGGGAACTGGAGATAAGCCAGAAGGGAGAATTTCCAGGATGGTGAATCAGCCCTGTCCAAAATCCATGCAAACAGCCACGAGTGTGCGCTTGTAACACAATACGCCGCCCCCCCTTCGTGCACCCGACGCTGCAGTCATGTAGTAAACATCCAGTCCAAGGAGGCGAGGTAGGTACGACAGCTACACGCGTATTCCTGAAGGGCAGACGCAGATTTCGTTCTATTAGGTGCGTGACTTCATTTCCATGGATCTTTTCGTCGAGCTGGAAATTGTATTTAAAATAGAAACACTTTTTTGGAGTCTTTTGTGGTTTTGGAAAGATCGGACGCAAGGTTTCAGAACACCTGAACGGCAGATCGACGTGAGTTACACCGCCTCTCAGAATTGCAGAATTTACGAACAAACGCGATTCACAAGTGCTTCAAAGGCAAGCGAGTCAATTTGTAATGCTTTTGATGCCGACGTTGTGTTCAATGGTACGTACGTTTGTTGGCAAAAATGTTTTAGACATGGCGATTTCGATCTAAGTGATCGGCTGCGCCACAGACGGCCTTGGAAATGTGCAGACGCAGAATAGCAAGCTCTACTTAATGAAGATTCGATGCAGACGCAAAAGGAGCTTGAAGTTCAGGTAGAGGCCACCCAAACAGCGATTACATCAAATGGGAGGAATTCAAAAACGTGGAAGTTGGGTCCCAATACAGGTGCTGACCAAAAACATCCGGGGCCAAGGTTTGAACACATGCTTGCCCGCAAGCAATAAAAAAGCCTCTTATTACAGAAAATGGTGACGGTTGATAAGAAGTATACTTTTTTTACAAAAAGCCTAAACGCAATAAGGCGTCGTGGGTAGATCCCGGGAAATTCAGTACATCGACCCCGAAACAGGACATCCACTTGAAGAAGGTTAGTCTGGGCATCTGATGAGATTTGAAGGGTATATTTTATTGCAAACTCCTGGAAACTGCTTGCCAGACAATGATTCCGGAACGCCTCAACCGACAACTGAACAAACTGAGTGAATAACGCGACCAGAAGAGGCCATTTGCTTGATAAGGGAGAATGCAAGTAGTACTGTAGCAGCAGGACAACGCTCGACCTCACGTTGCTCACGCGACACAGAAGGCTATTGAAATTGGGACAGTATGTTAAGGATGTTCTTTACTACAAACTCCTGATAACTGGTCAGACAAAGACTGTGGAACACGACAGGCGACAGCCGAACAAACTGAGTGAATAACTTGATCAGAAGAGGCCATTTGCTTGACAAGGGAACATGCCGGTCGTAGTGCAGGTGCATGACGACGATCGACCGCCTCACGTTACACACGCGACTCTGAAGACCCTCTTGAAAGTGGGATTGGAAGCTCCTCCCACACGCGGCATATTCACCAGACTCGGCCCCATCCGACTACCATATGTGCCGGGCAATGCAGCGGCGCGCGTTAATGGGTGAACAGTTCAAAATGCTGCACAATATGCGTAAATTCGTCGTCGACTACTTTGCTGCCTCGGAGCTTGCAGATTTCTCTCGCGACAGCATTTGTACGTTACCTCAGAGTTGGCGCAATATTTCCAAGACTAGGTTGGTTGTTCTTTCACATCAAGGCGTATCACACGCTCCCATAACGACCGCCTGCATTCTCGACTGACTCCTCGAATGTGCTCGATTGCACTTGGAAGGTTCACATAAACAAACGATGCCACTTCCACCTTCTAAGATCCCTCACACACACACACACACACGCCACTGGCCACAGGATCGACCCCCGAGTGATAGAGTGGCGAAAAATTGAAACATCTTCCTCCTCCCTCTGCCTGCGGGAAGCGCTAATGGTTGAGAAAAGCACTCGACTGTCTTTGAGGCAACCTGCTCTGTGAGTAATCTGGATTTCCTTTGCCGATCCAGTCACAGGAATGTAGGGTTCAGAGAAAATCGATTAACAAAAATGATTCATAAACACGGGTCTTGAATATGTTCACCGGGAACTTTTCCTCATACGCTTATTTGAGCGTCAATTAACAATACAAACGCATTAGCAAGAGGACACATTTGTTGCCACTGTATCTCAGACAACACGGATCACTTTCCTGAGGTCAGTTTGGCAACAGTTGACCCGCTGTTAGGGAAAACGCTCTCCCGATTAAGGGATTCACGATGCTTGGCCGAAAGGCTGTTTCCAGGCCTACAATACGCAAGACAGCCTTTGTGAGGCCGACCAACACACAAGATTCGACGCACAATCCGCTCCCTTGTCGTTGCGCCTGCAAACTCAGAATCGGGCAATTGACTTGGATGGTTTAGGCAGAGAAACGTCACGAAAAATCAAGGAAATTGGCAATTAGGGAGAGGCAAAGGCGGTAGAAATAAATTTCCAGGTATGGCAATTCCTCCTAGTCGCCTTGGTTATGGTTAAATATTTAAAATAACGCCATCGGGCAAACGCTTGATTTTATATAAAAACCTTTTCCAATTGCGACATCAGAGACTCTCTAAAAAATCGCGACCGTGGTTTTTATTTACTAAACATTTAAAAAAAATTACAATGTGATTATTTAAAGCTGCAGCACGATTGTGTACAAAGAACTGTCGGAATCCAAACACACGAGATCAATCACCTTTAGCCGTGGCAACGCGAGCTGCGTTGGATCAGACCACTGCACACCACACACAGCAATAGGCGCCCCATGGAACCACAGAAATGCGGGTCAAAAAGTACCGACGTCAAACGGCCACTGGAATTGTCGCAGGACCTTTTTATGGCCGGATTGCATTGACAAGTTTTCGTGCAGAGAAATTTCAAGATGAAATGAGGGGATTTCGGTAGTAATTTGATGTGGAAGAGTAATAATAGTATTTAAAAAAGGATAATTAATACAAAAACCACGCCACGGCTGTTTTGCATGCTTTAAACATCGTGCCAAGAACACACACAAAAGATAGGAATACTGGCAAGTGGTAAGGCATTGTTAAACCAAATAGAAATCTACCAGTACAAATATGTTCACAGTCGACTTATTTGCAAAACCGCTTCAGCAAGGAGTGTTATCAGAGAGTGTGGATTAAAGAAAGTCACACAAGCTTAAAATTTACTTGTTGAATGACTATACAAGCCCGATGAAACCATCGCACATGTCATGCTTGAGGTGATGTCGTGTTTCCACAGAAAACCCGACCAACAACTCAATTAAGCCACGAACTACGCAACGTTGAGAGCGATGCCCAAGTGCTGAAACCGATGGAAAAGAACAGCATTGTGGAGATTAAGTGAATTGGGCGTAAGCGCGTAGGCACGACCATTGGCT